ACGCTTTTCTTTGCAAGCTCCTTTGATTATTTTTGCTAGTTTTCCAGCACTGTAATGAGATTCTTCAGCCATGTTATTATTTGTGGTCTTGGACCATATGAATTCTTGTATCATCTCACTGATTCAACAACTTTTCTTTCTTTCTTTTTTTTACGCAAAATTCAATTTGCCCATGCACAATAAAAGATCATCTCATATGACACTAACTACGTCAGCAGTCAGTGTGCAGGCTTTTGGTAACAGAACAGTGTGACACCTGTTAAAAAGGCTACGGTTTTCAATACAGGAAATAGTAAAAGAGGCTCCTGATCCACTGGAGACAGCTGGCAAACTGAGACAAAGCATGGTGCACATCTGTGTGAGTATCACCAACCGGTTTTGGTGTTGCCCCCTCCATAACGCAGCGCTCTGAGAGCCCTGAGCACAGAGTTTCTGTCTTTGAAGTCATTAAGGCGGAATTCAATGCGAGGCTCATCGCTGTAATGAACCACAGCTATCTGAAAGAAGATTGAGAGAGTAAGAAAATGCACATCATCATAACAGCAATATAAACGATTTTTAGATCACAGGTGACTGTGATGAAACTTCATTCTTCAAAACAAAGATCATAAGAACTATATATTTGCTTGTGCTTGCCTCCTTGGCTGACAAAAAAAATGGCATTATGCCATGCGTCTCCTTTCTGCCAATGTTTGAGTCTGATTCAGCCCATTTGGTGGAGAAGAGCACATTATGTTACTGCTAATGGTCTAAGCCTGCACATGAGACTCACCTTCCGGGCAGCTATTATGACTCAAAAACTGCAATCGAGTCCAATTTGTAATTGTCTAAACAGACTCACAGCCAAAGTGATAAAATTAAACACCTGAAAGTTTTATCTTCAGCACAGTACAAAGAAAAGTTTTTACTGAGCAACTAACCTGCGTGCCCTGTGAACCAATTACGGGGAAGTATGTAGCCACTCGAAATATGAAGTCTTTCATCTTCCTAAAGTTGTCAGTGCCAATGCTCGACGACTCATCCACCAAGAACACTATATCCGCTTTGGTCTTACCGCACACTGGACAGAAACAGAACAGAAAACAGTTCTAACTAAAAAATATGCTACATATTATTTAGCATGAGGGAAAAAATATAAGAGAATCTCTAAAATACCTGGTTGTGGTGGTGTTTTTTTCTCTGTCACTCTACTCAGTGTGGTTAATCGAAAGGACGTGACTACTCCTGCCTTGCCCTCAGTGACACTTGGCTGAACGTGGGGCTTCTTGGTTGTTAAGGACTCAGTTGGAAGCACAACATCAGGGTGCCAGGTGGTCCTCATGGGTGATTGAGCAGTGGTTGTGTTGATGATAGAGGCAGTCTGGGAGTCCCCAGTGTTAGGTGGGGAATGGGGGGGCACTGTAGGTGGCACAGGCTGGACTGTTAACGCTGGGCGAGCTGGTCCCACTGTGATACACAGAACCATAACAAATAAATCAAACGCTTGAAGTCTCTGGAGTCAAACAGAGTCTTTGCTGGAACAACAAATGGGATTGCAAAGGAAGCAATAAAACACTGCTGCAGCATTCTTCAGTTTGGGTTTTCAGCTTGTACCAGTCTTAGGAAAAAGCTCCTGTAGGTGTTCACTGAATATCAACAAACAGAATAGCTGACAATAGAAAGCTAAGAAAGATGCATGGGTAGTCAGACAAATAGGTTCAACATTTTTAAGCATTCATGAAGTTTAGAATAAGATGGCCATATGAGAGATGTAGTGCTAAATAGCTTAACACTTAGCTAAGATAGCATTTCTTTTCTTCAGGAAGCTAATTTGAGCTTTGTCAATTTTATGCTTACAAAAATAAAAATACACACACAGTATAGTGTGATGTGACTGTAGGTATTATAGCCTGATCAGTGGATGTATTAAAGTAAACAGAAGGATCTGAAGTGTATGTCTGTCATTCAGTCAAACAACTTGGAGAGAGTCTTACATATTCTCTGATACATGGTGCTTATAGGCCCCTCCACTTCTCCATACAAAGGTCTGATGGTGAAAAGATATGTTCTGCCATACAAGAGATCACTGATCTTATAGTAGGTGAATCCAGGGCCAAGGATTTCTGTTTTTGTGTCAAACACTGAAAAAAACATACATAGAAAACATGGTGTTGCAAAGTGATCACTTGTGACAGTATGGTTTCAAGAAATAAGAAATAGGAAAATAAATCTTTATACTAAAATGGATTTGAGTGTATAAAAAGGAAAGCAAACAGTATTTTTTAATAACCTGTAAAATAATGTGTCAAATCTACAAGTAAAAATGATTTATCTGAACATCTGGTGACAAATTACATGTACGGAGATTCTGTCAATTATGACAATATTACTTTGGGAATTTTGTTAATAAGACTTTTCACCTTATTAACAAAAGGGTGCTTATGTTGCCACTTTATTCACAAAAGACATATCATGGTTAAAACACTGTGAGATCTCTAAACAATTATTCCTGGCATGCTGGGATACTTGTGTTTTATTCAGGCAAATATTGCCTTTTCAGACCAAGACCTGCTAAATAAAAGAATGTTTATGGCAGGTCTCTGTATGCAGTGTAATATCATTTACATAATATGTAATTCATCTCTGGAGCCTAAAAGAAAGTTGCATGAATTATAAGAAGGTGCTTTATCAAGTTGTGGTTGCTTACTGACCTGAGATGTGCCTCCAGGAGAGGCGATATCCTGAGGCACCAGCTACGCGTGTCCAGTTCAGAACAGTACTGTTATCTGTTGTATTCAAAGCAACAAATCCTTCTACTTTGGGAAGATCCACTGAAACACACAAAATAGCTCTGATGAATAATGACATAAAGAAACAAGTGACATTAGGTGGATTTATTATATCATACGTCCTAATGAATATAAACTTTAACATTCCCAGTATTAGGCGCATATATGTACATAAAAGGGTTTTTTTTGCATCCACCACATTAGATTTTAAATTAGGCCATCAATATGTGATTGAAGTGCAAACTTTCAGCTTTGACTCAAGAGGTTTGACAAAAGTTTTGAATGACTTGTTCCTGAAATACAACCATTTTAAACGTAGTGATTTTATGAGGCTCAAAGTAATTGGAGAAGTTTTTCATAGTCTCTGATAAAAGATTTTGAGTTGACTCAAAGTGTTTAACTTGCATTTTGGTAGCTGCTCATTGGAACTTTCAATACGAGGTACTTTTAAATTTACTAAATTTTAAGCCACCGTAGTGGCATTTACACATAATCTGTTTAAGGAAACTGGTGAAACATATATTACTGAACATTTCCCTGAAACTACCAGGGCCAGGCAGGACTCACAGGTACGTGCTGTGACCAGGACAGCGCTTCCTTCCCTGCTGCCCACCATGGAGGACACCTGGATCTTGTAAGCTGAGCTCTCTCGCAGGTTGCGGATGGTGTAGGAGGCAAAATCAGCCGATACCACATGGGACTTCTCATCACCCCCTAGTGCACAGAATAATTAAATCTAGCATGAAAGTGTCAAACAACCGTGTTTGCAGTCATTTACGGATGAAACTGTTATACAATGAGCCACAAGAGTCTAAACTGAGGAGTGGTAACTCATTATGCTGCTAGATGCTGTAATAGGAAAATACTGCAAATATTTTTAATTTAAGACATGCTTAATATTTTCATCGACCTGAGTGAAAATGTTTTTTCTCAGCTTCTCTGATCCAGAGATGTAAATGCAGTTGTAATTCTACTGTATATTATGTCTACTTGTTCATAGCCTGAGGCATTAGAATACACATTTGGGGGGTTTATTTATGTGGTTTCTTACCAAGAAATGGGATCCAAGAGATTTTGTATCCAGAAGCCCCTGGTGCTTTTTTCCAAGATAGTGTGAAGGAATTTACTCCAATGTCCTCAACCTTCACCTCCCTCACTGGCTGGATTGGATCTGACTCTGACACTGCAGCTAAGCATAACATAACATGACCACAGGAGATGTTAATCCAGGTTTTATACCATAAAGCTGTGACAATTATTATTTTTTTCACATCACAATGCATTAAGGACCCAGAAATCCCAAAATATGTGATTAAAATATCTGAAAAAATTGCTGATGTGACTTTACTTACCCCTCCCTATTATTTTACACTGTAATAAACTTAGCACTTGAAGCTCGGAATAACACTCTGACAGTGACAGTGATAGAATGATAGCAGCCCTGCTGACTTGGACTCAGTGACACATACTACAAGTGACAGCAGCAGGAACTGTGGTTATAACGGGAAGACCAAAGTACATGACATGTCAGTCAAACGGCGACACTTACGAGGGTTTATGTGGCACAGATTGGGGAACTTTGCCGTACCCTTCCCATTTAATTACGATGGGGGCACAGCTGCACAGAGCCATTTTAGATCTAAAGATGGCTCATGATAAATTCAAAGTCACTGAGACTTCACATATGTTTAGTACCTGTGAGCTGAGATAAGGAGATTTCTGGTCCCTCTGAGTTGCCATACACTGCACAGATGGTGACTGTGTAGGTAGACTGTGGATTCAGGTCTTTGAGACGATGGAAGAGGATGCTACGATCCAGGTACTGGACTTGGGGTTTGCTATTATCTGCAAGCATCAGACGAAAACAAAACAAAAGACAAGTTATCTATCTATCTGTTGTAAAGATAATGTATGGTAAATAGAGGGTCTTTAATCGGGCTTGCATGCTGGGATGCTTTAAAATGGTGTAATGGGAAGGAATAGGTATAAATATATTACCTGTTTTCCATGAGAGTTTGTACTCGGTGGCTCCAACGATGGGACTCCACGCCACATCTATAGTGGTGCTTGTGTAGGATGTCACCTTGAAGTTAGAGACATAACCCAAAGGAGCTGAAAAAATGAAAGAAAAAACATCAAGGGTTGATCTTATAAATACCCTGTTTCAAGTAAAAAAGATGAATCACAAATCTTTGGCGTTTTTGATTTCCTCATCGTGACTTTTTTTCTTAAAGCCCATTTTGGAAGTTGCTGAAAGTCTGCTGATCACTAAATGCACTGCTCACTTCAGTGTCAGGACTCCAATTCGTTGGGTGTGGTTACACATGTAACAGAGGTCAGTGACGATGTGTGTGGTCATGGTTAATACAAACAAAAAAGTCTGTTTAGCATGTAGTGTTGCCCCCAAAATTCGTTGTGCATTGCACCACTGAATTCAATTCTCTCCTCATGAACCATTTACATATCAAAATTTCTTATCAAGGTTTCAAGATTTCTTTGCATTCATGTTTATAAGGTTTAATGTTTCGTTTTTAATATTTTTCGTCCCAGGCATTGTTAGCTTGATAGCGAAAGCTTGATATAAGTGCTCCTGGATATCAGTGGAATGATGTGACATCATTATTACGTCACCTGTGTGCATGCACCCACAACAGACAAAACAGAGAACCAATAATGGGAACAGCTCCACAGCTCTACTGCTTATAGACTGTGCAAGCTGGCATATCTGAGTATTTTCAGTAATACAGAGAAGTTTGAAAAACTATTTAGCTTTCTAGTTTCAGTCATGAAAAAAACTCTTTTAGACTTTAAGAGAAGTGACAGAAGTAGGAACTGTGGTTGAAATGGAGTCATTCCTGTGCCCCAAGGGTCCTATGTTCCTGAGCTCTAAAAGGCACATAATGGGAAGCTGGAAAAATGCATATTTTCCAGCTAACTAAGCACCTAATGTGACTTATGACTTATGGGCTATTTTGGGTACGCGTCAAAAAGTTCTATAGAGTGTTACCCAGTGTTTTTGTATGTGTGTGTCTGCAATAGAATGGTAAAGCAATATTGAACTGAGGAAACATAGCACCATAAGAACATAGATATACTCCTGTTACCATGGCCACATGCCAATCAAACAAAACCAGATCTCTTTCTCTCGCCATTATACTTACTGAATGACTGAGATGACGCCGCACAGAGGAACAAGACAACTAGAGGTCAGATTTCATTGATAACAGCCAGTAAGCATCCTGGGAAGCTGCTCCGGTAAGTGTGGAACACAATTTCTAAAAATAATATTTATTACATCTTTACTTCCTTCTAATAAACACTAAAGCTACACCCAAAAGTTTTCTGGAAAAAAAAAAGTCTACTGAAAAAGATGAAAAAATGGCTTATTCCTACATTTGAATATGATGTCTGGTGAACGAAGGTTACTTACAAGTTCTGAACGTGGCAGCGATGCCAGGTCCAACCGCAGCGCCAAACAGCACGTAAAGCGTCAGGACATACTCCGTATCATGGGCTACATTTTTCAGCTGGTACTGTGTAGTGCTGGTGTTCAGAGCCAATTGCCTGGGACGATCCCGACCAACAAACTCTAGAAATAATATTAACATTACAGTTAGTCTGTTATTCCTCAGTGACTTCAAACTTTCACTTCGTATCAGAGGCAAATATCCTCCTTCTTTCCCTGTATTTCATCGCAAGCTACTGTCATGTTGCTATGGTTAAAGTGTCATTTGAGAAAATAACCGAGTTGAGAATATCAGCAAAAAACAAGGTAAACAGCGGCAGACAATAGTGACTGAATAAATCACCTGGGGTGGGTCTCCATGCCAGTCTGTATCCTGTAGCCCCCGGGACACTGTTCCATGAGACGACTGCAGTACTTGTGCTCACAGCAGATACTTTCAGAGTCTGTACTGAACTACTTTCCACTGACAGAAAGAGAGATAGTGAAAGACAAAGAGGACTGTTATGCATCTTATCTACTGCTTTGGTGCAATTTTATTTTGAAATTTTTTAATTACATGTCTTGATTTTCGCAGTGGTGATAGGCCCCTCAATGTCTCCAAAGATGGGGTTGATGGTGATGGTGTATTCAGAGCCTGTGTGGAGGCCCTGTATCATGTAGAAGTTAAAATTGTCCCCGAGGTTTATGTTTTCTATGTGGCCTTCTACAAGATATAAAGTGACATTTAAGCAAAGAGATGTATTAAATTAAATATTTCGCATTTTAGCTGTTTCGCAAGAAAGGTACTTAACCACGATACCTGTAGATGCCCATGTCAAACGGTATCCTGTAGCACCTTTAACTGATGCCCACCTTGCTTGAACGGTGTCTGTGGTGGCATTTTGGACCAGAAACTGATGAACTGGCACCAACTTCACTATTAAGCACATCCCACACATACATGCAAAGGTAAATTTAGGTAAATTATACACAATGACATGACAGAGTAGAGAATAGAGTCTGCTTGTTAATATTTTTTACTAAAACAATACCACCCTGCTGTGGAAATATTGTGGTACTGCACTTTAATATTTGCTCTTAGGTGTTGTTTGAAGAGACATTTAAAGCAGTTAATAAACTGCTTCCAGTGTGCCGGAGCGTGCTCTCTGGCTTTCCTGTTTATGTAAATGAACATAATGATGGGGTTTTGAGCCAAGCTAATAAACTTACATGTCTTCCCCACTACTGAAACCGGTTTACTTGGTCCTTCAGGGTACACAGCATAAATACTGACAGTGTACTTCTTATCCTCCTCCAGACTGTCAATCACATGAGAGGAAATGTCTCTGGGAAGCAGCTGCTCATAAATGAATCCTGGTCTGTTGGCTGGAGAACAATCATAAATGCACAAGAAATAATACTTAAAAAAAACCCTCTTTATTAGAACCCATTACAGCTTTCTTTCAACAAACCCCTCTGGAAACAAAGTTAACATCTAGCATGCACTTATGTCAGCATACATCTCGGGATGAAGATCTTGAATCCATTTAGCTTCCCCTGGGGGGGTGTCCAGCCGAGGCGCAGGGAGAACAGGCCCTCCTCAATAACACGGAAGTTTGAAACTTCGGGCAAAGGCGCTGAAAGACAGACACCTGTTGCTCAGGGAAAGATGACAGCATACAATTAAAAATAGAGACACTAGGTGCATGAGCAGACACTCACTTGTCTTTACTTTGATTGTCGCAGAGTCTCCTATGAGGCCTGGGTACATGGCATAGACGGTGAGGGAATAGTCGGTTTTGGGACTCAGCTCTGTCACCATGGCTGTGCTCACATCTGCCTTCAGATCCATCTGTTACATACACAGACAGCAGAACAAAAGGATCTGAGTGTGTGTATGTTTGAGTGTGTATGTTGTGTTTCCCTGAGACATAAAGTGGAAGACAGAATGATGTTTAGAAGAGGATGATTGATTAAGAGGAAGAATGATCAAGTCAGAGCAGAAGATAAACATACCTGGAGGCTCTGCAATGGAACAGAGAGACATTTTTGGGAAGTACGCTTACATAAATATCCTGCTGTTTTGCCTTTATTGCTTCAATTTCATTTATATATCTAACTCTAAAAACCACTGACATCTTTACAGTTTGTTTAGACTTTTGTCCACGATAATTAAATTAGGTTTTATGTTGCGTTTTATAACATAATGCAGAATCTAGGCAGAAACAAAGAAGCACTGATATCATTGAGACGACTGCTCATGTTGATTGCTTTTGTAAATGATTCACCGAGTTTGGAGTGCTACACAATGACTGCAGGAGAGATAAATCTCACTGAAATGAATCCACTACTTAGACTGATCACAGGGGTGAGTTGCTGTTGTCAGCTGTTTTAACTTTTAATATGAGAAGTTCATGTAATCGATGTGTTTTAAAGAGGAATTCCATGGAGAGTGAGGTGATTAATCAGCAGTAAAAAAAAACTGAGATGTCCAACTAATTCATGAATTAAATGCTTTACTGTCTATGAAAGTCAGTATGATGACATATTGCATGCTCTAGCTCAACAATAATGCAACAGTGACCTTATCTATGGACAATTCCTCACCTGCCTCTGCTGCACAGGAAGGAGTTGTCCCTCCGAGCTCAGTGGAGTGACCAGGAGGCGATATCCGGTGACATCACCCGTGGCCTGGCTCCACGTCAGTCTAAGAGAACTGTGGGCCAGTTCGCTAACCTGAAGGTCTCTGGGACCCACCACACGTTCCTCGCCTACGATTAAAAGTAAGTGTAGAAAGAGTGATGAGACAGACGGGATGAGGAGCGGAACATGGAGCAGAAAATATGCAAGTTGATGTAAAATATGTCTACAAGATAGATTATGTTAGCAAAGAAGCTGCAGAGTACAGTGAAATAAAAGAATGTTATTATTCATTTTTATTATACCTTTCAAGTGCGAGAGTGCAATACAATTCGTCAATATGAAAATGCAAACAGCTGTCAGTGAGTAGGCAGCTTTTTCAGCATATTACGAAGAACTTACTAGGCTTGGAAGTTTTCACAGGACGTGGGGGTTCAGAGGCAGTGAGGCACACTCTGCGGGACAGTTTGGGGAGGATGGTGTCCATGGTAGAGAAATCAGTGACCAGCAATAGATGCTCGGCATGTGGCTCCGACACAACCCTCCTAAGCTCTGCCTCATCAACCCCCGTGAGGCCTGGTTTTCAGTATAAATAAGAAGATAATGAAATAAAGTCTTTTATGCCAAGGCGCATAAAAATGTTTCATAACCAATTCAAGATGATAAACAAAAAAAATGTGCACATATGACAAGATTTTTTTAAAGGTATTATTAACAAATTTTTGATTATGTGGAAGTTTACTCGATTAATGCACACTGTGTGGATATTAAATGGTTTTGTTTGTATTTTTTCTGATCTCCACCAGGGGGAGGTGTTGCATTTTGACGGATTCAATATGAAAAGCTCCAATATGTGCCCATATACACATATATTTTACATATAAATAACCACAGTCATTCAATTTCTGGAACGAATCTCAGTTTGTGCAAGTGGGCCCTAAATGCCAAGGCGTGAAGTATTTAAGTTTTCCTAATGCACAAAAGAAAACCACTGGGAGATTTTTGCATTTTGCAACTCTGAATAAGTTGTCTACAGTATGAAATTTGCACATAAACAACATGAATGTGCATGTTGATTTCTTACGAGGTCTAAGGCTGCATAGAGCAGGGAGGCGCTGACATAATTAAATTTATGCTTTCCAGGCTGCTCTAGCTCTACAGGTAATATTGGCTTTGCATTAGCGGTCAAGATTCATGTCGAGCTGCCACGCGGTGGTGATGAACGAGAGGAGCAGGTTTCGGTGTCAGTGGTGGGGGTGGGTGGGTTGGGAAGGCACAGAATTGCCTAATGAAAAATGACTGCGATTAGCACACCATTGGCTAATGAGCAGTAATTATTGCATCGCTGCAGGCTGTGAGGAGTAAGTTGTGGGCTTGTGTGCTTATGCCTGTGAGTAGGGGGAAAAGGGCAAGGTACTGTATGTGCAAGTAAACTTGGTGCATTCATAAGGAGGGAGAAAGATGATGCAACACTATCAGAAAGTGTGCCTTTACATACAAAGCACAGAAGCTGGATCGATCAGTTATCCTTACACACACACACCTGTGTATACATACAGAAGCATGAGCGCGCTCAGGTACTCAGAAATAAGACTCCTACACACAAATACCCACACTGAATCCAATGAATTCAAATGCACAGGACATGAATTTCTAACTGCAAACACTGCAGATAAGCGGGCAGAGCTTGGATAAAATCTGAAGGGCTGCTGCAGTGGGGATGTTGAAAGAATTCACAATAGCAACTTCCACACTCACCTACTGCAAAGACAGTAATTCCATTGTCTGCTACTGCTCTGACTGCAGCACTGACCTGGTCGTCCGACTGTCCATTTGTGATCAAAACAGCAATCTGCACAGGACAGAAAATGGCATATGTAAAGAAAAGACAATAATGTGAAGATCTGCTAATTCTTGATAAATGAATGCATAATATAAAGCTAGTAAAATGTATTATATTTAAACACATACGGGTCATTTTCAGCTGCTCTCTTTCAACCTCTGTTTTCAACCATTGTTGGCACCACTGGAGGCTTAAATCAAGCCTCCAAACAACATTTGTTTGTGTTAAAAGAGCATCCATGCAAACAGTACCATTCTCATGAAAGCCTCCAAAGCCTTTTGATGCAGTTTAGCACATAATTGAAAACATAATTAAATAAATCAGACCCAAACTCAAAGTGGAATTCAAGGATGCTGGCTTGCAGCTGAGTCTAATAATTTCCCCATTAAGGAAAATTCTCTCAGTTCACTCAAAGTTCACCCCTCAGTCAGTGAGGAAGGGAGGTGGAGAGCATCCACAGGAGAATGTAGTTGCTGCTTTGCATGCTGTACAATTCAATATATCAGCCTAATCCTCAATTCTCCACCTTCCCATATCCAGTGTGCTGTAGCAAGATGATTCACACATGCACACAGAGATAGAGAAATGATTAGAATGCTAACCAGCTGTGTTATACTGTGACTACACTACAGTATTAGACTGTCAGGGAAATGTGTCTGATAGAAAAGGAGAGTTGTGGGAAAGAAAGTGTATCTGGATATTTGACAAGGAACTTCTGAGACAAGTTAGGATCCAAGAAATGCACCAAGCCCAATTTAACACTTGTTTTTTTAAGGTCATTGGCATAAACCAAGTTGAGTCACTGTGGATGACCATCTGTTGGATGTTTAGCAGTCACGCCTTATCTCCATCTGATAATCGATGAAAATCTGTGGTGGAAAATGTATTTTCTTTATCTTTTATTTTTCCTCCAAAGCACCAGAGAAAGCAAAATAAATCCTGTTCCCTGTTGCACCTTTCAAATATTATCAATTTGTATTCTCAGCATATAACACGATGGTTTAATCAGATTCACAGCAGTGTGAGAATGGTAAACCTGTTTATTTGTTTTTTCCACATGTCCTGTGGAGTGGAAATATAGATTCCTGACTAGTCATTTCCTTTCACACAGGGCCGAAACAGACAGTACATGCATGTTTTTGCAGCATGGGTAGTAATCTCAAATCAATAATTTCCCCAAAGCTTGTGAAACAACATGTTGTCAAAAATTACCAAGATTTAAATTTCTCTTTTTCAGTGTATAACAATCCACCTCGCTGTGTAAAGCAGCGTACCTTCGGGACAGAATCCCGCCTGATGACGGGGCTGAAAACAGAGTCGACCAGAAACTGGAGTGCCATGCCAGTCCTCCTGGATCCACCTTCATAGGGAAGGTCTTTGATGGCTCTGAGTACCTCCTCAAGGGAATTGTAGTCTGTCAAAGCAATCCGCATTCTGCATGGACATAGAAGCACAAAACTGGATCAGATAGAAACATTTTTCCACATTAGACCACAGAACTTTGACATAAATGCTAAGGACCAAGACTCCTATAATTGAGTTGATTGTTTTAAAATCCAACTTCCAACTTCCACAGATGCTCAATAGAATTGAGATCTGGGGAATTTGGAGGCCAAGTCAATACCTCAAACTCATTGTTGTGCTCCCCAAACCATTCCTGAGCCACTTTTTTCTGTTGAAAGAGGCCACAGTCACTAGGGAAAACCCTTTCCATAAAAGGGTGTTCACAATCTGCAACAAACCACGTGATGTAAAAGGAAATGTGATTTGTTAGACCGGGACACCTACGGCTCAGTTTCTAATTCTCATGAGCCCACTGATGGTGCTTTCACCACTGGAGAGGTTTTAAGTATGGACATGCAGCCACCACGAAGGATTGTGTATTCTGTCACCTTTCCATCAGAACCAGCAATAACTCCTTCAGCTATAGTAGCTCATCTGTTGGATCAGACAACACAGGCTAGCCTTTGCTCCCCTAGTGCATCAATGATCCTGTTGCTGGTTCTCTGGTGTTCCTTCCCCAGACCACCTTTGATAGATACCAACCACTACAGACTAAAAATAGCCCAGAAGAGCTGCAGACAACCCAGTTGTCTAGCCACCAACATCTGTTTCTTGACAAACTTGCTCAAATCCTTACCCTTGCCCATTTCTCCTTCTTGTAACAAATCAAACACATCAACTTTCAAGGACAAAAGGTTCATGTGCTCCCTAGTATATCCCACTAGATACTGGAGCCATAATGTAGAGATGATCAGTGTTATTTACGTCTCCTGTCAGTGGTCATAGAAAGTGATCATGTAGAAAAGACAGCTGAATATAATTTATGCCAAGCTGCCACAAAGGTTCATGCGATGTGCCAAGCTCAGGACTGACTTCTACCTTGGAACATCCCCAAAGACAGTGACTCCAAAACGGACCCCATCAGCTCCGACCACATTGTCCTGAAAGGAGGAGATGATGGCTGAGATGAAGTCTTTGATTCTGGAAAAGTCTTTATGACCCACGCTCCAGGACTCATCCACCAGAAACACTATGTCGGCCTGAACCACTGTCCTGCATGCTGAGGAAAGAAGAAAAGATTAATTAATATGTGTAAAATGGTAGCATATACATGAAGCATGGAAAGACACAATAAGATATATTTTAAGAAGATTCAAGAATTAAAAAGAAATGCACTAATACTAATATGTAGCTATTATTCCATTACCTCGTCAGTAACTTCAAAAAAGGTGAAACTTCTATATATCTCTATACTCTCTATATCCTTTTTTGTATTTTTATGGCTCGTGGATTGTGAGTTCTCCAAATTCTAATTCTACATAAATACCCAACAGTTCCTGAAAGCTATGCTGCCTACAGATTGGTAGAAACTGTTATCAACCACTTAAATGGCACTTTACACCGTGGTTTACTGTCACATATCGTTTGGTTACCAGGGTAATATCGGTTCTCTGAAAACCGACTGAGAAAACCAAGTGAGGTTTTAAACAGAACTCACTTTTTTTAAATTTACTTAACTAATATTGCCCTCATTTGAGCTCATTAACTAAATGTTTTAATCTATTATCTATCACTATCAGTGCTACTTTAATAACTTTTAGTATTATAAATTGCCCAAGCCATATTTGAATATTTTATCCTTTAGTTAAAAATGCAATCTATCATTTTCAGCTACTGAATTTGGCTTTTTTTTTCTTTTTTTGCTGGTTTCAAGACTTGAATAAGACATTTTATCAAAATGTAATTCTCCATTACATTTATCTTTAAGGGTTTCCCTCTGAAACCTCAAAAACACTAATTTAGCCTCCTGCTGCTTCAGACATCTTTAATTCCTACACTGACCACCAGATAGCAGTCTTGTTCCACCTTGCTGAGGGGATTCCTTTCATTTGCTTCTGTCATGCAGCCAGAGCCTCACACAAATCCTTATGAATTTTTAATGAGACACAAGTGAGCCAAAGAGACTATCAATATTCTGAGCACTCCAGCAATAAAACTTTAGTACAGCGATGAGAAACGCTTAGAATAATAAGGTAAACACACCCAAAATCAGGGTCAGTACCCTTGCCCAAGCAAACAAACGCATTTAAAATAAGAATCTGCTGGGTTTGATGGGATTTAGATGCTTTTTTGAGTGAACTGGTGCACTGAATACGCAAGTGCACCGACACATATTCACATGCACAAACTGCTGTGTCTGCAAACACCTTGTAAGTCAATATTCTGGTATTGCATATGCAATAAACCAAAGTGACAACAGCATTGATTAGGCTAGTGAATAGGAGATAGGCGCAACTGATTGTTCTGTAAGTGATAAGCGATTCTCTGCTGTCTTCTATTTCATTATCAAGCTTTCTCTCCTCTTTTATCTCACCCTTCTTCCTTTGGCTGCAATCCCAGGATTCACTGGGGGTGACATATGTCTTCAGCCCATAGCGGCCTAACATTATGTTCCTCCTCACACACCTATACATTTCTGGCCATACACGAAGGAAACAAAATATCACCGGGAATAGCATTTTGGAGGCCTCTCAAGCGCTATTATCTTTGGAAGCTGTAGTATCATATATTCAGCAACAGCAGATCTATTAGCGAGGACTTATACTCATTGATGCACTTTGAAGAGATAAAACAATGTTCATACTTTCCGGTCCGAGTTGTGCCTCATAAAAGCAACTACCTACCCTATAATAAACATGTGGCTTTTCCATTTACTGGATGCATTTCACACTTGAAGGATTTTAGTAAACGCACATAAAATGTTGTGAAGACTGAGCGAAGAAGCAGCTGGAGGTTGGTGTCTGTCAGACAGACACAGACTGGGATGGAAAACAAGATCAATTATCCAGAAGTTCGTCTGTCTAGGCTGGCAGGTGAGATCGACATGCCCAGGATAAGGACACAAAACATGCTGAGAGATTAGGAATGGTTTTCTTGAAGGTTATCTATGTTGATATCTCAAAGGTTGCATACACCTTGGTGTTGGACCACCACTGATTTCCACATTAGATGTAGCCCAGTGGCTTGAGCATATGCTGCAGAAAATTCTGCCAAGAAAGAAAAAGCCTCAGAAATATTGATGCATTACTCCAATCGCCTCTGACAAGATTAAGACATGAGATCATAAGATGTAACCCATCAGAGAGCACACATCAATAAAAATGCAATTAACAATAACATGTATTGTGCTACAAAATAATCGTTAAGAACATAGGTGAGAACAGGAAGTAGTTGCTCAATAAAGCCTATTATAAGCCTAAGGGCCCTTTGCTTTCTAGGGCTATCAGTCATTGTGGCAGCACGGCAGTATTTTTGTCTTGGTCTCCACCAACTACTGAGATTAAAATGGGATTTTTTTATATTACATTTTCCCAATGAGCCAGTTGCTAATTTTTTAGTGCATGCTGTTTGGTGTTGGGCAGGTATGCACAGTGAGTTTGTCATAGCTTATTTAATGAGAACAGCTGCTTACTGCTGCAGAAAAGACAGCTGGCAAAAGTGGCTGAAACTGCTTCTCTCAGTAAGTTTGTGGGATCTAAATCACTGAGTTAAAAGAGGCTACAAAGCACTAATGATGCTGAAAAGTTGGGTTAAAGTTACCTGATTGTTTCTCACAATGAGCAGCTTCCATACATTATTGCTTATTTGTTGCTCGTATGAGATGAGATTATTTAATGACAATTATACAAACCTATTTCCTGTGTTTTATGAAACACAGGACCTTAAGAACAATGTTGGGTTAACAATTAAAACTATAATTAATCAACAGTAGGAGGACCTGCATAGGAAGCACAGCTTTTAATGTATTCTTGGGCTATTTATAACCTTCCATAATTCTGCCCAACAACTTTACCAATCACCTTCTGCCAATCACAATCCAAGTGGAGGAAATCTAACTTTTGATTGGCTCGTTGACCTTTTGGTGACATCCAATAGCACCTGAGGCTGGAGTACTGTATCTAGGGGGATGGGTTTGACAGCGTAGCTGACAGAGTGCTGTACTGTACATGAGGGCAGCAGATGTTTAAATTCCCTGACTAGACAGAGTCTGGAGAGAAACTGTAGCTGGGCTAGTGTCTGCCCCATGTACCAATCCAGGTGTGGAGATTTAATGATGGAGCACTCGCACAGACTCTATTCATTGAGCACCTGCCCTTTCCTTGGCCTGATCATCCAACCTGTCTAATTTATAGATCTGTGCACCAAGCTAACAATTGGACACGTGGCTGTGACTCAGAATAATACGTACCTAACTCTTTTTTCACAGACAGAAAATTAAATGGAGAAAAATGACTGCAAACATGAGTCACTGAGTTAAATAAATCAATCATCAAGTAACTGAGGGGGTGGAAAAAGTAAGGAGGAAAGTTGATGTGCTATAGGAGAAGGGAAATTTCACGCAAATTAATTCTGTAAGCATGCAGTACAGGTTTATAAATATCACGACTCACCTTCAGCTTGCGCTGCAACACTTTGATGAGTCAGATAAAGGGACAGTAGAAAGATGCACACAGAAGAGTGACCCATACTCTTCCTCGTCTTCCTCCTTCAGTCACCTTCTCCTCCTCCCCAGTTCCTCTCTTCACAAATGCAGTTCCTAAATTGCACTTCACAGTCATCAATCCCACCTTTTCTTTTCTCCTATCTGAAAAATATGCAAAAGAACAACAAGAAGAAAAAAGTAATTACAGGCCCTCAAAGATAAAAACATAATCAGCTTTTTTTTTTTCATTTGTGAGGGAGTTGGAACTCTTCTGCAGAAGCCAAGCTTTTGGTGTTTGCTAAGAGTATTTTTTTTTTTTAATTACAGTAATACACAAAGAAGAGTTTAACAGCGTAGTTCTGCTGTACTCAAGAGACTTGTAGACATGTAACAATGACTGACTGGCATACTAATCAAATAAATAGGTCCAGGTTAGAAACTTTCATGTCATATTATACATGAACTCGGATGTCTTCTTATACACTTCCATGTCCTTAACAAGTGCATAATGTGTTTGATAATTATTATATGTCCAGGTGCAGGCAGGAGCCTCCCTGTAAACACTTTTATAACAAATTCCACTGACGCCAAGGAAATTAAAGCATCAAAGGGGTTTTTATACTGTCCAATAAGGACCCGTTGATTTAAAGCACTTAGCATTTAATGTTATTGTGTTGATAATCTACTGTAGCTGTCTTACAAAGCAGATCCTCCTGGGATTTCAACATACAGGTTGGCGTAAATGTGTAAAACTGTTTATGACATGCTGTTTAGTGATGAAAAAAAGTCCTCTATTCAAAGGTATAAAAGTTACAAGAACCTTGAGGATACAACTCAGCGATAAATCATTTGATCACAGCCAAATCAGAGACAGGATAAGTCATAAATGGAGTGCACTGTACATTTCTAATCATAACTACCTCTTTAAGATGTTTGATGGCTTTATGGCTTAAGCTAACATGCCATTACAGTGGCTTTGACATAGTGTGCTGGATAAGTCATATTTGCAGTTAAAATGCAAACATTAGAGTTCTGTTTTTATGGCATATGTTCTTAATAATTTCATCAGCAAGTGTGGGCATCTTTACGAAATAAGATGTTTTGGCAGTTTGCTGCTCTGCAGGACTCAGATCTGTATTATTGCAATGCCACAAACTTCCCAGGAGTAGAAGTCGTAGCACATTTACCCCAAGGCCAACGGAAAATAACATTCTCAGAAAAATAGCAAAAAACAAAGAGGCTTTGTTAGCATGTTAAATGTTAAAGTTCACAATCCACAGGACCATGTTGACCACAAACACCTCATATTAACTGTGAAGCACGGTGGTGGAGGAGCAATGATTTGGGCTTGTCCATGACCTCCTCTTTATACCAAAGTATTCTAGAGTGAAATCCAAGAGCTAAAAATTGACAACAGTGATCTCAATCACAGCAGAAATCTATAACAGAATGGCTGAAAAACAAAGATAATCAAGGTGTTGCAATACCCCTGAAAAAGTCCAAACCTCAACATGGCTGAAATACAGTGGCAGGAGAGCTGTGCATAAACCAATGCCCACAAACCTCGATTAACTGAAGCAACATTGTAAATAATAGTGGACCAAAATTCCTCCACCACAATATGATAGACTTATAACGTTGTATAGACAACAATTACATTTGTACAAAAGCTGGTTCTACAAGCTACTGAATCATAGTTTTTCACAAGAGCCTATGCAGTCCTGTGAAAACGTGTTTTTTTCACGTGACAGCAGATAATGAGAAGAAAGATAAACAAATATGGACTGTAGCTACAATGTTAAGATAAAAAAAATTACCAGAGTTTGGTTTTGGGTGTGTGAAAGGCAAAGTGGGTGGAGATGGCCAGTATTTCTAACAGGCACATTCAGATGGATGAGTCTCACCAGTGAAAACACAAGCATTCTTCACAAGAATCTAGATAGAGGGAGAATAATAGTTTTTGCTATGAGAGTAAACAGAGGCCCAGTAATGATCTGGAATAGAGAAAATCCTTCTCTTATCTTTTTGACTGCAAAAACCGCAAGTCTGATTTTCATTCGTATGCTAGCTGATTTATAGGAATATTATCTCTCACAGTGGTGTACACCTGGTTATTTAAGAAATGCTCCTTTCTGTCTCAGTTAGCTGGGGGGATGTGCCTGTGTCTGTATTATAGGTTGTTTAAGGCAAGTAGGGGAGTACTCTAAAAGCCAGTACTCTGGCTCAAAGAGTTGGCAGTTCGTCTTGTAACCGGAAGGTTGCCGGTTCGAGCCCTGGATCGGACAGTCTCGGTCGTTGTGTTCTTGGGCAAGACACTTCACCTACTGGTGTTGGCCAGAGGGGCCGATGGCGCGATATGGCAGCCTTGCTTCTGTCAGTCTGCCCCAGGGCAGCTGTAGCTACAACTGTAGCTTGCCTCCACCATTGTGTGACTGAATAGTGGAATTGTAAAGCGCTTTGAGGGCCCCGAAAAGCGCTATATAAACGCAATCCATTATTATTATTATTATTACATAGAAATTGATTATGCTTTGGGTCAGAATAAATGACTAATGCATTTAAAAACTCCCAGGTACTCCCAATGTTATGAGAATAAGGCAACCTTTTGTAAATATCCCCTCAGATTTAATATAAAATTAACAATGTATGGATGCGTTTATTCATTAACAACTAACTACTGTACTTGGTTCATCTCTCTAATCTCAACACGATTCATGTATAATTCTGCCAGAAGTGGAACAACCCCGGAAAACATGTTTCATATGGGCCAATTTCATTATTGGACACAGGATGCTATTATTCTGTTTATTTGGCACATAAATAGGAACATATCCGGCCCCAAATAATAGCTTTATTAAGAATAGCGTCTCCTTTATGTCTGCCATCTTTGCATCATGCATCACACTCATGTATTCTTAGTTGGATAAGATTAACATAAACATATCAAAAATTCAAAAGCTACTT